CTGCAGGTTGCAGTATTTCATCACAGACCAGCTTTGCAGAGAAAGGAGTGGTCAACTGCAGGTTGCAGTATTTCATCACAGAAATTTCTCAGCTTTGCAGAGAAAGGAGTGGGGCTCTACCTGCTGCCCCTGTTCCCAGGGGGTATCGGATGCTGCCTCTAATTCTCCCTTTGCAGTTTCACATGAAGTCATTAATTTCCGCTTATCTGACACAAAGTTGTTTCTGGGAGCTGTTAACTGGTCCATATTAGAGAAGCGGACAGGGCGATGTGTGTGTAGATGGAGTGTCCAGGGGGAAGATCGTGTACAAATGTGTGCATGGTTAATTATTACTGTGTTTTCTTATAGTTCAGCAGGGAAAGGATTCTCCTGCCCATTTGCCTGTTACTTGGCAGGCTCTCAAACCTGTGACCTTCTTCTTCCCTGTCCTCTTCTGCCAGCTAATAAATGAATTTTTTGGAGGAAGGTGTTTTCAAGTTCACTGCCTCTAGCTCTTCTTCGCTGTTAATATGGTTGATAATGGGATTGAACTTTGCCCAGGTTCCATTTTTACCTTTCAAAGTACCAGTTAAAGTTGTATTTTCTCTGATTTGCCCTCTTCTCCATCTCCTTTCTGCCTGGAGGGTTAGATCCAAGGACAGAAGAGGAATGCAGAGACCTGCCGAGGTGCCACCCCACTGGGAGCTGCAGAAGGATAATCTGTGGTTTTAAGTGGGCTGATCCCTCGGGAGTCCTGCTGCCTGCTGGGACCACTCATTGCCCTGCGGGACGTGTGGCAAGCCCTTCTCCAGGCTGGGTGCAGGGAGCCCGGCCCGAGGGGAGCCGTGCCCATCAAGGGGTGTCAATGCAGCGCTGGCGGGACAGGGAGCACTGCACAAGCTTGCAGCGTTTTCTCTTATTCGTAAATGAACACGTTTGCCAAAAACGTCCTGCCACCAGGGTCAGGCGGTAAAGATGCATTAATTTCTTTCTTGTCCTTGAACCAGATGATGCCTGTTCAGCAGGGATGCTGAAACCATCGTGCCTGTTGATGCGACTGCTGCACCAGGTGGGCGGCACAGGCTTCGCCCGGAGAACTGCAGAGAAGATTTAATCAGGACTGAAATGCATGCTTCCAGCATCTTGCCTGGCTGCAGACGTCATCCGGGTCTGGTTAATCCTTCATGTCTCACCAGCACTGCCCCAGTCCTGCAGGTTTTTTGGTCCGTTTGAAGTCAGTTGTGCAGAAGGGCTGTTGGCACAGGATGCCGCTGCGGAGGGTCCCTCCGCCATCTCCTCCAAAGACAGGAGCGGAGCCTGTGCCTGGCTGGTGAGGCATCGGTAGGAGAGGGAGAGAGATGCTGGGCAGCACCAGAGACTACACCCACAAGCCAGGGATGTTTCAAAGGCTGCTCTGAGTTTAGCTCTGAGGATTCAGAGCTTTGCCTGGAACCACTTGCAGTTCAGGCACAACGCTGCCGCTGGCTCTGGTATGCTCATGTTTGGACGGGAGGGGAAACTGCCTGCCCCTTCATCAGGGGGGTGAGGACGGGAAGATGGGTGGGAAGAGGCTGCTGACTTAGGTAAGGATGGATCAGCTTTACATCTGCCGCCTCTGCCTCAGCCCGCACCTCCAGAGGCAATTTCTCCAGCTGATTGAGCATATTTCTGTATTATAACACTGAACCATGGCTGTTCTGCTGAGCTCAGCATCCCGCTTCCCAGGCTGGGAGCAAGGCAGCAGGCTGTGACTGTTGTTAGATGGATGGACAAACCCAGTAATGGCCCCAGACTAACAATTTCATCCGAACGATCGAGTCCCACAGCAGCCAGATCGACTGCCTTGACGAAGGCAGGCGCTGCCCGTGCCTGGCCAAGGGCAGAGCCGGGTGTGTGGGGCGTTGCACACCCAGATGACATCAACCTGCCCAATGCCCATGGGAGAACGGAGCTGCTCCGTGACGTGCAGCTCGTGGCTTCAGACACAGGCAGAGACTCACCTAAACCGGAGGGGGGGGGGAAAGCACCGGAGAAGTCAGGCCTGAGTGAGAACCAAGGGATTTGGCACGAGGAATTATCCCAGTGGAAAACAAAGTAAAAGGGAAAAGCTGGCCTGGTTTGCTTCAGAAGTAACGTTATCCAGGGAGATGGCAAAGACAGCTCTGGCGGGGAAGGCGCTGTGCGTGGCTGTGCCGAAGCGAAGGCTGCCCGGCAGATGACTGCAGAGCTCTGTGGAGCAGTTATGCTTTTAAAATCCCGGGATATAAATTTATGCCACGCAATTGCACAAGTCCTCTCCGAGTCCCTTGGGGCTCTGTATCATAATGTATTGCTGGGCTTCACAGCCTGGAGATTTAATGCATGCGGGGAAGCGTCCAACGCCCGTACATCATCTGGGTAGTTGGTGGGAGGCATGTCCCCGAGAGCTGGAAGAAGATTGCTGCCAAAGGGCGGAAATTTTTTGGCCCATTAACAAAGCTCACGTTAAGAAATACAAACTTGGTGTAAAGATGCTGACAGCCTGCAGGAACGTGGGGGAAGAAAGCTGAAAGGCTCTGAGAGCACACAAGGTTGGTCAAGGGCCAGAGCGTAGAACGGGCCGTGGAGATGCCCCAGAGCGGTGCAAGAACAGCAAGTTGGATGAAGAGCAATGAAGTGTGGGGTGTATATAAGACAGGATGGGGGGGATGGAGGGAGGTGGCGGCGGGAGGGAAGGCTGCGTTTCTGGGACCCTGTTTCCTTCAACATGGAGGAAAGGGGCATCGGTACCGATGACAACCAGGAATAGGGATAGAAACAGTTGTTGGGTTGTTTTAGAAGCATCAAGTTTATTGATAAGCTTTAAATGTGTTAGTGGGAATGTGCAAATAAAAGGGGGGATATGTATGTCATTTAATCCCACATACGTATGTCTTCAGGTCGAGGAGAGGTGGGACAGTAGGTCCTGTGACCTGAGTAAAGATTTGCTTTCCAGCAGCAGGGGAGGGGTTAAATTTTTACAGATTTTCTGGACTTGTGACAAGCCTTTGGAAATGCTGGGGAAAGGAGACTCCAAGGAGACCCATACTCACTGTGCAGATGGTCTGGGAGCCAAGCACGGACAGCAAAGCCATGGTAGGGGTTTGCTCTCTGGCTGGGACCACCTCTCCTCCCTCCCGCTCCCCAGCTGTGAAACGCTGATTCCTCTCCCTCCTCTGGGCTTGGGCCAATTTGAGCCTGAGAAGCTGCTTCATTGATGAGGCTCCCCCTCCCGTGCTTACCACCGTCCTGGTCTGTGGGGTTTCCATGAAGCACGAGGAGCTGAGGAAGGGCTGCCCCCGCGTCCGGCAGCCTGCAAAAGGGGCGGCTGTGCCACCACTCGTCCCTGGCCGCTTCGCAGTCACCGATGGGCACAGCCAGGCTGCTGGGGACAGCCCGCGCAGCGGGAGGACGTGTGCCCAGGGTGGGCTGCACAACACCCCTCTTCTCCTCCTCTCTGCTCATCCCCGGAGTGCTCCAGGGTGTGCACGGTGGGGTCTGGGAGGGGCGGGTGAGGCAAAGGGACAGGGAGGGAGTCCCAGGCAGCGTGGGGATGGGGACAGGGGGACCACAGCACCAGTGGGGAGAGAGGGAGGCCCCTGCCCCTACCTGCAGCCCGCCTGGACCCCAGCCCACAAAGTCTGAGTACCCAGATGCGTGCTCGGATGAAGGCTCAGGGGTGGTGTCTGCCTTGTCCCTGTTGGGGCTGTGTCCCTGCGCTGGGATGGCTGACCGGGGCACGTAGTGCAGGGATGGGACGGAGATCCCTGTGGATGCCACCGCTGGGTCGTGTCCATCTGGCCACCGGACACGGGCGGGTGCAGGTACTGACTAAAAGTCCAGCAGAGGGCCCTCTCGGGGAGGAAGCATCGGTCTGTGGGGTTTCCATGAAGCACGAGGAGCTGAGGAAGGGCTGCCCCCGCGTCCGGCAGCCTGCAAAAGGGGCGGCTGTGCCACCACTCGTCCCTGGCCGCTTCGCAGTCACCGATGGGCACAGCCAGGCTGCTGGGGACAGCCCGCGCAGCGGGAGGACGTGTGCCCAGGGTGGGCTGCACAACACCCCTCTTCTCCTCCTCTCTGCTCATCCCCGGAGTGCTCCAGGGTGTGCACGGTGGGGTCTGGGAGGGGCGGGTGAGGCAAAGGGACAGGGAGGGAGTCCCAGGCAGCGTGGGGATGGGGACAGGGGGACCACAGCACCAGTGGGGAGAGAGGGAGGCCCCTGCCCCTACCTGCAGCCCGCCTGGACCCCAGCCCACAAAGTCTGAGTACCCAGATGCGTGCTCGGATGAAGGCTCAGGGGTGGTGTCTGCCTTGTCCCTGTTGGGGCTGTGTCCCTGCGCTGGGATGGCTGACCGGGGCACGTAGTGCAGGGATGGGACGGAGATCCCTGTGGGTGCCACCGCTGGGTCGTGTCCATCTGGCCACCGGACACGGGCGGGTGCAGGTACTGACTAAAAGTCCAGCAGAGGGCCTTCTCGGGGAGGAAGCATCCTTCCTCCTCCTCCTCCTTCTTCTCCTCCTCTTTCTCCTCCTCCTTCTCCTCCCCAGGCTGGCCCTGGGCTCCCCTGGGGCGTGCACCCCAGGGTGCACCACACTGCCCCCGAGGTGGGGAGCGTGGGCAAAGGGCTGCACCCTCCTGGCGAAGGACTGGATTCATTTCCTTCTCTTCTTCTTCCCTCACCACACACATCCCCTCGCTGCGTTTTACGTGCGGAGTCCCACGCAGGCTGCGAGGTGCTGCAGATGTGCCCAACTGCTCCTGCACCGGCGCCTTTCCCGGGACGGCGATGGAGGCACGGCGCCTGGCTTCCCAGGGACCAGTGACAACCTGTAGCATCCCTGGTGTGTGCGCTCCCGGGAGACATCGGTGCCTTCGTGTACATTAGCAGGAGAGGACGCGCAGCATCTCCACATTGCCCTTCCCTCCTCCCTCTGCCACCCAGCAGCCCAGACCGTTTCTAAGCCTTTTGGGGACGGGGACTGCCCTGCCAGCGGCTACCGACATGAGGCTGCTCCTGATCATTCTGCCATCGCTTTTCTACGCTGCTACAAGTAAGTGGCTGTCTTCACAGGTCACATCATCCAAAGTGGGGAGGAAATCAGGCCATTTGACTGGGATGTTGGGGGGGGGGCGCGTTGCGGAGAATTTTATAGTGGAATGTCGATACAGATCCTGGCACGTGGCACAGGGAAGCTGGCTGCCTGAAAACAGCCGTGCTCCGCCGAGAAAGTGCTGTCCTGTGAAGAGAGTTTGTGTGCCTGGTAACACAGCTCTCTGCGCTGCTTGCTGTTCGCTTTTCCGGGCACCTGCGTTACCTGTAAAACCAGAGGTAGCTGCAAATTGTGATTCTGCCTTTTATTCAAGAGAAGAGAGCGCGAGCACGGGAGTGGAGGGGGAGCAGATGCAGCCGCCACGCCGATGTTACCGTCTGAAAGGCGAGGGAGCGGTGGACAGAAACCAGATTGAAAAGTGACACTTTTTGCTGGAAGTTAGGAAGGGGGGTGGGGTGGGTGGCAGTAGCTCTGCGCTATTTCCATTTTACTCTGATTTGTTGTGGTTTACTTTTGTGGATGGCAATGCAAGCTGTTCCCTCCCTGCCCGCCCTGTGGGAGAGCGGGGGGGTTAAACCTCTCTCTCCAATCAAACAGTTAATTGTTTGTGTCTCCTTTAGAGCGGTTTGCTTTAGGTGCAGCTCAACCCACCTTGGTATGGGAAATGTAAGGGGAATTGTGTGCGGTGTGCCGTGAGAAGGGGGTTGCAGTCCTGGGCGGGGGGCAGCGGGGATGCATCGTGGTGCGGAGAACCTGGGCACTAGAGACGAACGGGACGGGCAATGCATCCCCCCCGGCCACGTCCTGCAGCTCCAGGGCTTTGCTGGCAGAACTTACACGGTTTCTTTGCAGACAGAGGCAATGCGGACCGAAGGCATGTTTCTTCAGCCCGTTAGTTTTTAGAGAATTTGGTCACGGCTGTTTTCTTGGCGGTGCGTGGGCTTCGTTTACAATCCTGGGTGGCCCTCGTGAAAAGTCGAGGCAGATGCTGAGGTTAAACCCGGCTACATTTGGCCGCCTCCTCTGGCTGTGCTTCCTTCTGTGGCCCTGCAAAGCCGGGGCAGGAAGGTCCCCACGGCAGCACAGTGCCCGTGCCCACCCTGTCCCACATCTGCCAGGGAACGTCCGTTTATCTAATAGGCTGCATTGTCCGAAAATCACCGGTTTTCTCAGAGTTTTACCTTGCCTGAAACACACACTTTTCCTCTGGTTTTTTGTGGTTTTTTTTTTTATTTCACCCTCTCCTCTCCGCTCTCAGGTTGTTCTCTGATTTCTGTCCTGCACAATCCCTGGTTTCTCTAGCCCTGAGACGGGGTTAATGCAGAATGAGGTCCTGTGGAAGCATCGGTTTGGCTGGGAATCTGGGGCTTGAGCGTCATTCCTGAAAAAAAAAGAAGCTATCTGTGTTTATATATATAAATATATATCTGTATAAACTCTTCTCCCTTAGTATTTACATAGCTCCATATGCGGATATGCTCTCTGCAATAGGGATCTGGAGGCCCTGGAAAGGTTCCTGTTGCCTTCTGTGGGTCCTACATAAATTCAGACTAAGAAAACAGCCAGAAACCTGCATGGCATGACAGCATGCAACAGAGAGCCTCCCTGGGTAACTAGAAAGGGAACCGGAACAGGGAAAAATCCCTCTGGAGGGACTTGAGCTCAGGTCTGAGGGCTGGGGTGAGACCCATTTCCATTCGCAGGACTTGGAGAGGGTAAGGGACGCGCTTCCTTCCGCGGGGCTGCAAGAGGGCAAGAGCCAGGTCTTGTATTTCCATTCGCAGGACTTGGAGAGGGTAAGGGACGCGCTTCCTTCCGCGGGGCTGCAAGAGGGCAAGAGCCAGGGGTCTTGTATTATCCCCCCCCCCCCCCCTGGTTTGTGTTTTCTTACTCTTTTATCACCCAAAACACTGGCTTAAGGAGACACATTTTTCCTTACAAGCCCAGCCCCTCGCCAGCTGCCGCCTCTGCTGCCTGCAAGGGCAGGACCCAACGGCACCTCCAAAATCTCATTTCTCCTGCCACCATTCCAACCTCTTTTAAGAGGTTTCCCATTTGGACGATTTGCAGTGGGACACCCTTAATTGCCCTTAATCTTTGTCCACGTTTCAATTCACTGGTTAGGTGTTTATCTTGCAGGGATCCTCCAGAGCTGTGCGAAAGCGCAGCTCCCAGCCAGCATCAGCGGGGACAGGCCGGCGGAGATAGCAACCGAGGGAGCAGCAGGGCCACCGTGGGTGTGCTTAAAACACACACGCATGAAAGCACATTAAATAGGTCAGCAAACTTGCTTCTTGGCAGGTTGGCTCGACCCCAGTGCATGGTCCTCCAGGCAGACTGAAGGCTGTCTCCAGGAGTGCTTGGGAATCTCTTTGCACTGGCTGCAGCACGGCAGGAGCTGCCCCTGCACCGAACGCCAACATTTCCCAGTGCATTTTGCATGTGGGATGCTGCGAGGGAGTTAGCTGGTCCCCACACACATGCTCACGGGGGTCATGAGCAAATACCAGCTCTCCTGCACTAGCCGGAGCCCTCCCGGTGTTGCACCCATGGGCTGTGGCAGGGTCCTGTGCAGCTCCCGTGCAGTGCTCAGCAGCACTCGCTGTGAGCACCCACGGGGAGGTCTCGTGTTGAGGAGCAGCTTCCAGCTTCCCGCAGGTACTCCACACTGATATACAGCACAGACTTGAGCTGTTTTGACACAAACGTCTTTTTATCCAGTTTTTCAGTTTTGACACAAACGTCTTTTTATCCAGTTCTTCGCACATGCTTTTATTATTGGGTGTGATCTGCCAGCATGAGGTATTTTTAATAAACATGGTAAAACTCTTTTACGGAAGCATTAACACTCAACGGTTCTATTAGAAATAAACTTACACTTAAACTTGGCTCAAATTTTTATTGTATTCACTGCCTCGGAGAAACAGGTGCTTAGGAAAATCAAAAGGAGCAGTCACACATGATGAGTTTGCATTTGTCCATCTTGCAATGCATGAATTTGTTAGAGCAATTGTTGTGCATGCCCTCTACGAGATATTCACGTACCAGAGCTTTCCACTGGTCTTTATGCCCTCCTTGGATGGGTGTCCTTGCTCAGTTGCTGATTCACACCCGCCCGAGCCTCCGGTGACCGATCTCGACCTGCTGGCAGAGAGCGACTCCACGGGCACCAGCCCCACTCCTTGTAAAGCCTTTTTTTGTACACTGCTGCGGTGCTGGTTTTAGTGTATAAAACCAAATCTTGCAAAATCAATTCCCCTTCCAGCTCAGGTATAACTAACAGGTAGAAGTAAAAGATGGATTTTCTCTTTTTCCCCACATCCCCCCCCAGTTTTCGGCAGCAGCCCAGCCCTGTTCAGTCTGACCGCCCAGGAAGAGGTGGCGTGAGTCACGTCGCTGCTGGAGGAGACGCCTCCGAGCGAGGTGTTATTCCAGGCACCGGCTTCATTCCAGGTGAATCGTTTCATGCTGATGGTGACACTTCTGCTGCTTCCCAGCAGGATGGAGGTTGGCACCTGGGAAGCCCTATTCATTTTGGAGCAATGCAAGCAGGGAAGGCCACGCACAGTGTCATGCACAGCTGGTAGAGCCTTGCACCACGCGCCTCCAGGAGCCCGTGCCAGGGAGCAACGTTGGCTGGCTCCATCCAAGGGCACTGCCTACCCTTTTCTCACTCTCCCTGTTGTATTTCTATAACACCCCCCACCCTGTTCCAAAGCTGATGTAATCTGGAGAGCATCAGCCCTAACCACACCCCCCTGAGCTTTGGGTGGACCAAAATTTGTTCTTTACGAGTAAGAAACCGCAGTGCTAAGCAACTTGCCCATCGTCATGCAGGAGATCTCTGTCTGTGTCTATCCTCTTGGAGAGGTTTTGGCTTCATAAAGCAGAATCACGCCTAGAAGTATTTAAAGTCACTGAGACTCTGTGCTTAACGAGAGGTCTTGGACGAGGCTGTCCAGTAACGAGCCGCCCCTGGGCAAATTCCCCGGGAAATGCCACTGGAGCAGGAGCAGGAGCTGCCTGCGCTGCCTGTACCACTCACCGGAGAGAAATGGCCACGTGCTGGCTCATGTCTTCCTTCTTTCAGACACACGTAACATGGTCGTGGCGTTTGCAGGCTGGGAGGGGAAGACCTCCAGCACACGCAGCAGCCCTCACCCGCATCCCCGGTGGCCTGTCTGTCACAGCCTCGACTCGTGTCTGTTGTGTTAGCAGAAGAAAATAGATGTTCTTGCTCCCAGCTAAAGGAACAAAAGATCATGTGTAAATGAATTTTCAGTGATAAATTTTTGCAACATTTAATAGCGGATATGCTGTTTTATGTCCCAGGCAGGCAGTAATTCGTTTGACAGTTGTTACGCGTTTCAGTGTTCTGCAGTAGCACATCTGATACCCCTGTGGGTTTAGACACATCTAATACAAAAGTATAGCCACAAGCATTTATAAAAATCTAAAATTACCTCTTGGTTTGCGAAAAGACTAGTCAAAGGCAGGCACTTCCAAAACAGAGCTCTCTGGAAGTCTGATGTACTATACAAGCTGTACCAAGGCTACAACCCAGATTTTTTCCTTTGGGGTAAAGGGGACATGGCCCTTTCTGACAGCGCGGAGCCCCTGGCACAGGAGCTGCCTTGCAGGCTCGGGTCAGCCCAAGGGGTCCCCGGCCAGGGAGGGAGAGCTGCCCCCCGCCCGCTCCCAT